GCAGGGCTGCTCTCGATCCTTTCTTCCCCCAGCCTGTACTGATACCGAGGGTTACCCCGACCCAGGTGCAGGACCTTGCACTGGGCCTTGTTGAACCTCATGAGGTTCACACAGGCCCACCTCTCTAGCCTGTCCAGGTCTCTCTGGATGACATCCCGTCCTTCTGGTGTGTCAACCGCACCACTCAGCTTGGTGTCATCCGCAAACTTGTTGAGGGTGCACTTGATCTCGCTGTCTAAGTCATTGATGAAAACATTAAACAGCACCGGTCCCAGCACGGACCCCTGAGGGACACCACTAATGGGAGATTCCACTTATGGAGCCCATTTGATTTCCAATCAAGTAGACCTGGGTAGTTTTGATAAAAATTACAGTCCTGGGAAATACAGAACATGGGAATTATATGTCCCGCCTTCCCTCCTACCACCCTTGTTCTTGCTGTGACTTTAAGCAGTGCATGAAGTCTTCGTGGCAGCACTAAAGTAAAGGATATGAGTTTAAACAAGTGTCTCTTCTTTGGACATAAATTAATGTTCCTGCAAATATTGCATTTTATTGTAGATAGACATTTTTACTTTTTTTAATCATGCATTTTGTAAGTGTGTTCTGATGTCTGTGGAAAACATATAGTGCATTTTTACCTTGAGTTAGATTTTCATCTATCTCTTGTGGGGAGTGTGGTTAAATTTTCCATTTTTTTATATTTGCAAAAATCCATTTTATTGGACCTGAAGCCCATTTAGTGACTCTGTACTGCCATCATTTGTACCTTCATCTAGCCTACTGGGTAATATGCATTATGTTACTTTGGAGTTCAAGCTGGTTAGCTTGTATGCAAATTCTGAGCCTTTGGGTTACATTTACTGAAGTTTTTTTAAGTTTTTCTCTGCAATCATAGGGCTGGAAAATTCCGTGTTTTTCTAATACGCAAACTGACTGATGCATACAATCACCTGATTCCAGCAGCTGAGGCTTTATGAAAAACACTAGTTATCACGATGAACTAAAAGATGTGGCCAGATTCAGGTCAAGGCTTGTGAGTTCGAGCCTTTGTTTAGGACAGGAGGATAAGGAAAGGGTTTCACCAACTCCCTTTTTCTTATGATACTTATGTTTTACAGATATGCAGCCTTAAGACCATAAATTGCATTGCCATCCATTCTGTTGGCTAAATTTCTGGAATTCTTCAAAATTTATAGAGTATATGCAGTAGGGTTGGTAATTTCAGGAGGAGCGTGTCAATTCAAGGGCACGCAAAGGAAACTTGGAATTCCACATCTGTCTCACTGGGTTTCACCACTGAGTTTCAACCAACAGCTTCACTATCATTACTTAAAATGAATGTTGTCTTTTATTTTATCTCTTTTAGCTGTGTGATAAAGAAGATATAAAGGAGTGAGTGGCCTTTAATTTGCGGTGTCATTGCCTTGAATTTTTTGCAATGGTAAACTTTCAAGCATGGGTGCTTATAATTAGACACTTCTATACCTCAATGAGGAAACTATATACCAAATGTGTAAGCCATCTCCTAGATGCTTAAAATGAATTAGGGGACCTAAACAAGGGCACCTTGTTTGAAAATGTTAACAGAAATTTTGCTGTAACTCTCTTGAAATTAAACTCCATCCCTTTGCATTATTGCATTCCTGGTTTGACTATAAATTATGATTTTAGTCTTTATGGTAACATTAAATTGTAGGTGACGAACATGGAGAACTCCATAATCAAGAAAAGCATTGAATTATTCAAATATCTTTGAATTACATGTAGAATAAAAATTACTTGATTATGTTTTAGTACCTTTTTGGTCCCTTTAGCTGCAAATTTGATATTGGAGGGGGATTAAGAGGAGGGAGAGAAGGAAGGAAAGAAAGAGATTGCTTTCTCCCCAACGTCAAATTCAACTTGACCAAAGCACATCATGTGTTTCATTTTAGTCATTAGTTCAATTAAGTTTTGCTTCGAATGTCATTCTGTGCTGCACAAAGTTTGGTATTTTGACTACATATGAAATCAATCAAACCAGCATATTTAGATGGAGCTTAAGAATCTGGAAGTACACCTTTCCTTCTCAAATAAGTCTGTTCAGCCCTGAAGTCTGTGCCCATTAGTGGCCACAGGGCAGAAGACAGAACCCTTTTACTCTCTGTATGGGCAGAGGGCAGGCACTTGATAAATGAATGGAGAAGCCTATGTTGGCTTCAGAGAAGGAAACAAAAGAACCAAAGGAAGAGCGATGAAAAAAGAGACTGTCAGGGGAAACTGCTGAAAGATTAACTGTAGTTTTCCATTGCTTGTTTTATCTGTTGGGATTGTGAGGGATTTTTGTTGTTTGTTTGTTGTACCTATAGAGCTGGATTCCTGTTGTAATATACCCTTTTTCCCCCCCTTTTTTAAAAAACTAATATTAAGGGACTATCGAAAATATACCAGGGTAAATCATGGCTCCTTTTATGAATGTAGTTTAGCTTTCAGACTGTGTGTGTGTCAGAGGAAGAAGTTGTGTCAGTGGAAGGAGAGAACACTTTCATCGAACGATGGCATGGTTGTCCTTGCACGACTGTTGTCTAGTTCATTGATCTGACTTTCTTAAGTTCAAAATTTACACATCTGAGAATCCTTCTGCACCTCACAATATAGAAACCTTCAAAGATTGAGTTGATGTTTGCTTCATGGGTTTAAACCTCTCAGCATGAACAGCATTTCATGGGAATGTGGAGGAGGAGAACAGAGGCTGATTCTTTCTAACAATGGTGAACCCGCCTCCATGGTTCGGCTTTGAAACCCTTGGACTTTGGGAAAGTTCAGAACCAAACCTGACTGCTCAGGTTCTTCCACCAAATAAAAATTAATCTTAATGTTATGTTTCAGAACAGTGCTGGAAGCTGATATGAGAAGAGCTTGCTCTGCAATGGTCATTATTTGATTCCTCCTGACTCTGCCCATTTATTAAAGGAGATGAAATTTAATTAAGATTCAGTCTCAACCTATCTGTGATTTACATAGAGGTTCTAGCAAACTTTACTAATATGCAGAGTTTGCAGTAATGGTCCAGTTTTTCCTGTAGGTTTCTCTGCTTGGCTTTCATCCCGGCTGTTAGGTAAAATTAAGGCCCAGAAAATTGGATTATTACATCCCTAGGGGCAGGACTGATAAGCAGCACATGATTGTTGATCTGCTTGCTACCCGGTGTTGGTGGTGTTTGAGGTGCCGCTAGATGCAAAGCCAATTTGTTAACAATTAGTGCTCATTAGAATCATTTCCTGTTATCGATTTTAAATGTTTGACAAAGCACTTTTAGGAAACTACACCCCCCCCAAAAAATAGTAGCTGTACATCAGTGCTTAGTAATTACAACTCTTTAGGGCCCAGTGTCAATCTTAACTAACTGGTTTCATTGGTTTCCAAGTAATTATTTCTGCTTTGGATCCCACCTGCTATCCCCTCCAGATTAAAGATGCTTTGAAACAAGGACATAGTTCTTGATTAGCAGAGTTGCTGAGCAAGGAGTGATAAAACAAAAGCAACTTTTTTATCTTCTGTCTTGGTTTGTCATGGCTTGGGCTTTTTATTTTTGCATAACTACCAATGGATTAAATGATATACAGTATAGGAATTAATGTCAGCCTGGAATTAAGTGTGATTTCCATTGGCCTTAACATTTAACATGCGGGTTTAATTTTAAATGCATCCTTGCCTTTATACACACATTGAGAATTGTGGAGCCATTAAAATCTAATTTACCAATGGTAAAATTAGATATAATGGCGTGTTATAATAAAAGCTCTGATATCTGGGAGTCCAAGAGGGTATATCTGTTGAGTTTCTTGGAAATTGGGGCTATAATTACTATTAATCTGTTTTACTATGCCAGAAGAGGCTCGGATGTGAGATTATTTAATAAACAGTACAATGTGTGTATATATGTAAAAAGTACCAGATCAGGCACATCTGCATTTCCCCATATACGGGAGATCTATGACAAGTTCTTATAGACTCATGCTTTTTATGAGTACGCTGGAATTTTTGGCTAAATTTGGCAGTGTCAAAAGGTGAAGCTAGCAGTATAGCCACCTGGGTTAATTTTCTCTCCTTCCTTCTACGCTTTAAATTTTTAGCAACGTCAGCTCAGGTTTCACAACCAGTCTCTTAAAATGCTTACAAATATTTTAAATGTATTCCCTGATCCCTGCTGCACAAGGTGGAGACCTAACATAAGACTTGACTTGTGCCTTTCCCACCCCCATTCCTGAATTAGCCTGAAAATTACTGTAAAAATTAAGGCGAGCGTGGGTGAAATACGTGAAGCTGAGTCCCTCTAACCTTAATAAACAGAGATGGTATTGACACAAGTGAATTTTGTTTAACCACAGTACATTTGCTTCTTAATTAGTGAATATTCATCTGTCATCAGCAGCAGCTATGACACCCCTCCCCGCTAACACGTTCTGTCATAAATAATCAATGAGAGGCTATTAATATTCATGAGTGAGAATCTGTGTAGTCATGTGCACTGATGCAGAGACAGGGGGAGTGTTGCCATGAACTGAGTCGAAACTCTGTGTGTGTATACGTGAGTGTAAGATAGTTAGGGAAAGGGAAGAAGAGCATGCTGCTACACACTGCCCTGCCTTGTGCTTCCAGCTAACAGTGGTGTGCCTGTGTTTCGGGGCTGGAGTGACTGATGAAAAACAGTAGTCAAGTCTGGAGGGTGATTCCCTGTCAGTGCATTTGCCTGTCAGTGCTGGGGAAATTAGAGGCTTTGCTCTTGTGTTGCTTATTAGGATGGGCTGCAATCTGTGCACTTTTCAGAAGAGAGAGGAGCACTACAAACTGCTCTATGAAGTTTCACAGGTGAGTGCAGAGGATATTACCAGCATCTCCAGAGTAAAAATGTGTGTTCTTTACAGCGAGTAAGTAGAGATGCTTTTGTTTTGCTTTGCCTTTTTTTTGGTTTTTTTTCCTTTGCAAAATTGCTAGCTAAGTTGTTTGGGGTGGGGGGTGGTAATTATTAGTATTTTGGGTGCCTGTTGTTTTCTGCTCGTTTGCCACTCCCCCTTCAGATGACTTCCTGTGGGATTCTTTTAACATTTTTCTGCATCTTCTGCCAAGATGTCAGTCATATAGCAGCAGTCTCACTGAACCGTATCGGTGATGTTTTAAGGGAGCCCTTGGCTTTGGTAATAAGACTGATTTCAGATAAGTTGCACTGCTGCCTCTGAAAGCATTAGGTCTGTGATCTCAGGTATTTCTAAGTTAAGGAACAAAGTTTTTATGGCATGTCTGTGCTGGCCGGGAAGTATGTTAAATTTGCAGATTAATTAATTGAAATGGAAATGATTCTGAAACGTGCTTGTCACCTTTAAACAGGTCCTGAGTACAACAGGGTTTCCATGGGTGAGGTGTGCTGCCTGTTCATTCACTCTGTGTGTGTTATTTCTGTTTACTACTAGACAAAGATCTTAATCCCATCTAGGTATTTTTGGTGTCTCTTTCAACATCGTAGCAGCGTAGCACTGTGCTGCTAACATGTTCCCAGCTCCTTCAGAATAAGATGGGAAAAGACGGAACAAGCAGTTACCATAATAGCCCATAGTTTTTGCTCAGATCCTATTGAATCAGTATTTGATTTGCAGCTTTTTGTTTAGGGTTTTGTTGGGGTTTTTTCCCCTCTTGGCACAGCAGACCCTCGCATACTAAAGTTTAGTGCCTCTCTGTAATTTGTCCTGGCTTTGACACATTGCCGTTGACGGAGGCTGAACGCTTGCAGTTTTGGACTGTGCTGCTGCTGACAGGCAGCACGGAGGAGAAAAAACAGCTTACGGTGTTGGTGGTCTATTGGCACAGCAGCAGCTAAGTGCCCATTGCCGACTGGTTCCCTCCGAGTTCCTCCTGACGTGATTCATTTCACAGTGGGCTAATTACAAAGTGGATTCTCTACACATGAAGCAGCCTCCTCAGTTGTGGTGTTAATGCACATTTTCATGGTAATGTGATCAGAGCCTCATTAGCCCGTTTCCAAAATGATCCTCTGCATTAATTAAATATAAAAATGACTCTTTTTATCACCATAGAGAGGAAGAAGAAGATTAACATTGTTAATTACTACTGGGGGCAATACCTCTGCATCATTTTTTACCACAGAACCAGCAGGCGTATTCAATCCTAAAAGAGTGTCCTTTTGCAGGTAACCTGCCCATTGCCTTGCCTGGTGAAGACAGTCTCTAGGTAGCACACTTCCCTTTAGTTCAATAGTTAGTTGTAATCCCAGTCTCATGTTTTCCTACAGCAGCGGCACAGGGAAAAGCCTAGCAGCGCATTTCCCTCTCCTCCCTTTCCCCCTCCCCAGCTCTGGATTGCCAAACTGGAGAGTGGAGCAGGTCGGTGTCTGCTTTTCTGTGCCAGGGAATAAGAAATGCAGGTTGTGCTGTGGAGGGAATTAGACATTTCTTAAAGGGCTGCATGTGCATAAGGGAAGAAAGAGGCTGTGCCTGGTTTAGAGTGAATGCATTTTCAAAATATTCCTTGCAGTAACGTTGCATAGTAATAAACGCTATTGAAATGATCAGCAGACCCAAAGGTGGGGGGGTTTAAGAGATTCTAGAGAAATTCTTCCCTTTATCTGTTATCTTCTCTGCTGTTGAGTTGGAGTGTCTGTGGATGTGAACAACCAAGGTCCAAAAATGAACTAATGCTTTCACTTTTTTACTCTGGTGCTTGCCAGATAAAGGGTAATCCCTGGGAGGATCTGAGCACCTTTCCTTGGGGAGTTGAAATGCAGCGAGCCTGGTGCTGCATCTTGTGCTGTTAGGGAAATGTCACTGATAAGGTGCAGAAGGAGAGCAGAGAAATGACTTAGTGTGCTCGCTGCCGGATCCTGTGTTCATCTGTAAACTCATCCCTATCTTTGTTTCAGTGGATGCAGGTCAGAGCCCAAAGGATACCGAGTGTATTTTTAACCAGGTGCTACAGTAGAAATCAGGTAGTATCTCGCACCATGACTGCTTCTGTGTACAATACTGATTTGCTGCTATGGGGGGGAGCAGCAGTAGAATATGATAAATTAAATTAAGCCAAGGCAGGCATCACTACTTGATTTGCAAATCCCTTTTTAACTCTCCAGTCCTGTAATTCCTACACCACAGCCTTAGCTCTTTCATCTGCATGATTTCTGGAGAGCTTGGGACAAGTTAGCCTGTCAGGGACATGAACTGACTGAGGATGAGCTGTGGCTCACCGGCATATGTGGATCAGATAGATTAATTTATATTCATATAAGGAAGCAAACCTAGCCTCATCTCTCACCTTTCCCGTGCTAGGCTACCTGATACTGTGGGTGGTCTGTGCACTCGTGTACTTAAAAATACAGTAAACAAAGGAAAGTGTGTTCGCAGAGGAAAACCAGGCAAGTGCTTACAGTGAGGCATGTTTTCTGCTACTGTCTGTAGTGAGGTCAGATGCAGCACCAGAAAGCTTTTTGTTGTAGAGCTGCTGGGAAATTAAGACATCGTTAGAATTTGTATAATTCCTCTCCACCCCCCCACCCCCCCACCCTTCCTCCAGCCTCGTTTGCCTTTCACTGAGAAAGCAAAACAGCATTTGCTCGCATGACAGAGACTTTTATTTTGATAACTGTGTCTTGCACGTGCAGATTGGGATTAAAACAAAAAGTCAGATAGTCTCGTTTTAAGAATGAAAGCTTTTGAGTAACCAGCAGGCATTGGTGAAGGACCCTTGTGCTTCTGAGTGCCTCTTCACCTGTCCTCAGGGCGTGAGGATGGCTCAGCTTTACTTCTTGACTTCACTGTGAGAAAGTATCAAGCGTAGCACTCCCCCAAGTCCTCTTCTCCATATGCCTACCAGTGGAGAAATGGGAGGTGTCTGAATTTGAAATTTATGGCCCTACATGCTACTTTGTGGGGTATTTCATTATTATTTCCTGTGTGCTGCATAAGCAGGATGGAGCTAATGAGGCTGCCGCCAGGAAGTCTACGTCAAGTCACTTAGAGAAGGTGGGACCTGGTGTGTGCTCATGTCCATTAGGAGCAGACCTCTGCCATTCTCAGCTGATTTTATCTTGCTCTGCTGGGGTGAAAGAAGTGAGTTTAAGTTACTGTTAGCTGCTTGATGAGGACTCTTCCCGTTTAGTGGAAAGGGTAATTGAAATATGGCAAGGATTGGAGATATAAGGAAGAAATTCTTTACAATGGGGGCGGTGAAACACTGGGATGGGTTGCCCAGGGAGGTAGTGGAGGCCCCATCCCTGGAAACATTCAAGGCCAGGTTGGACATGGCTCTGAGCAACCTGATCTGGTTAGCTGTGTCCCTGCTTACTGCAGGAGGGTTGGACTAGACGACCTCTATAGGTCCCTTCCAACCCAAAGCATTCTATGATTCTATGATTCTGTGACTGGAGGGAATGAAACTGAAGCACCATCTGATCAATCGTCAACAGTGATCTTCAATAGCCTTGTGTGAGTTTCAAGGAAATGCAAATTTTTCACAGAATTCTGTGGATATCATATGGAAATAATTTCTTTCTGCTGGATTTTTTATGCTTTGTTTTCAAAACGTGCAGTTAACCCAGAGAAAAAGAGAGGGGGAAGAGAGAGAACACAGTACTTTTGGAGGTCAACCAAAGAGCAGCATGAACTTATTTTTTGAGTTATGTGTTTAAGAAGCAGTCCTGGCTCAGGTCAGCTTAGAATTGAAAGGCAGAAAGGAGAAAAGCTCAAAGGGAAAACAGAGGCAATCTGGGATGGCTCACAAAGTCAGTGGTGGAGCTGGGATTAAAACTGGGAGGTTGCACATTCATATTTTACATTTGACCTGAGATGATAGTAGACCCTGCTTGCAGCGGTTTTAAATCCTCTGAAGACTGATTATGCAGTTTGCTTCTCATGTTGGTTTCCATAATTAGCATAAAGCTTAAATTTTCAGCAGTTTAGAGTTCTGATTTTATGTTCATTTTGATATCCCTTGGGCTGCTTGAAGTACTGAGTTTTAGTGGTACATCTCTTCAAATTCAAAGGTGTTCACAAGAACAGACATCAAGCCTGCCCACTGAAACAGCAGAGGCACTTCTGTGTTTTTCAGGAGAAGCTGCTTGTATCTGGCATTGGAATAAGGAAAGAAAACTGGGGGCCAAGCACTGTTCCTTGTCACTGGGACCTGCCTTCTCCAGTCTTGATTAAGTTTGGGGTTATTCAGAGGATTAAATAGACTAGATGATGTATTCCTTATTTTCCTTCTGAACCAACCTCCAGCCACTAGTATTCATTTTTGGTACTTATGCCATGTGAGGTATTTACACAACAACTCCTCAGGGTGGTGTTTGCCATTAGCTCTCATTTTTCTTCTGGAGATACCTGCTGGCAGCTTTGGCGTCACCTTTGTTTGCTGTGTATCAGTGCCACTTCCAAATGCTCCTCATGAATTTCACCAGCAATAGGAAAGTACCGTCTTGTGCTGCATCAGCACAAACATGTCTTTGGGTCCATTTATATCTAAGTTCTATTTTTAATAAGAATTCTGTGGCAGGACACTTTTGCCTCTGGAGATATGAAAGGAGAAAATTCTAAATTTAATTGTCTGGAAAATAATTGAATTATCTGAGTTGAATTAAGTCAGTAGCAAAAGTAGATCTGGCTTGTTCTTACTGCATTTCCTAGCTTTTCTTTCTTGCTCCTCTCTAAATTTTTAAACTTTTTTAAACAATTGAGAACACCCTGATTCTTATTTTTTCTAAGCAGGTCTTTGAATACTGTTTTATCTGTCTGAAAAGTTCAAAAATAAATTTTGACGTGCTGAGGGAGTCAACAAACTTGTAAGAGAACTGTTCCCTCTCAGTTTAA